ATATATATATATTCGTGCCACATGCCTTTGCCTGTTCGTGGCGGGGTCACTGTAAGTCCTCTCAGGTCAAAGGCTCGATCCCACAGTGAGGCGGGGGCTCTGGAATTTTAGGCACATGGCGCGGGCTCTCATCGTGGGGCCAAAAAGCGCACGGGAAATCGATATTTGGGCCTCTGCCAAATATTGGTTTCCATTTTAAATTTAAAAACCAAAGCAAGCTATTTTTAATATAACCGAAATATTATTTTACATATTTTCATTATTTTATAATATGAATTTCTAGAGGCACCACACTAGCCTACCGCGGCAACCTCACGCTACCAAACCTCTTCTTACTCTTTAAATACATCAACTTATTTGACATTCAATAAAAATAAATAAGATTTATATACTTACCACTTATATATACTTTTTAAATATTTCGGTGTTATAAATATAAAAATTAGAGTTTAGGTGTTAGACATTTAAATACATAGGAATTGGGTGGTATGTATGTAAATGCTCCCAAACAACCACTTCATCGTCCTGTCAAAATGCAACTTTTCCTATTTATGATCTTCTCCACCTTTATTCACCTTTTTCTCCCCTTTTTTTGCAGACATTGCAACCGAACTCTCTCAAAAGTGCTGTGAAACACTAGTGGATGCTGGCGCTATTGACATTTTACTAAGGCAAATTCAGTTGCTAAACCGGGGTATTCCAGATCAAGAGGTTTTAAAGCATGTTCTCTCCACTCTCAGAAATATTGTTCGCTATAAATTCCCTACTTCTCATACACACCCCTCATTCCATCGAGATAATCTTTCAAGAAATGTTGAGGTACCTTCGCATCTTTAGCTCGCTCTTAAAAAATGATATTTATGCTTTATTATTCATCACAATGAATTATGGTTAACTACCATCATTATGATGTGAGTTTACTTGATGAATGGTTTTAATATTTTTTTTTATTTTATTTTAGGAAGATTTACATACAGGCCACTTAATTCTTATGATTTTACATATCTAACACCAAAAGTTCAATTTATCATATATGCCACATTACTTAATACTTATGCATGAAAGAAATGTCTGAGTTTTTAGAAGTTAAATAGTGATATTTTTTATATGATATGAAACATATCAAAGGTATAAATGCCAAAGGCAAAATTTTGGTGTTAGTTATGTAAATACGAAGTTGGGTAGTATGTATGTAAATACTCTTTATTTTATTATATGCTATGTGCCAGTTATGTAATTTGAATTAAATTACATATACGTAATTTTTATTTTTGTTTTCTCTACAGGAACAAAAATGAAGGATTTCTGATAAGTTGCCAACTCTTGAGGAGAGTATGCATGATTCCAGGAGGCCTTCATTCTGTCCGCATGCTCCGAGGCTGTGTAAGAAGTCTGAACAAAGTTATAGTAGGACTGGAAAGAAAGGCCAAGTTTCTTGAAAGGTGATTTTACGGTTTTTTTTTTCCATTAATTGTTATACCACGCGAGCAACAATGCCCCTTTATTCCCCCTTTATTCTTATTTTTAATTGTTTAATTGTTTTTTTTTTTTCACACACGCTGCATATACAACATCTTAAACATAGGATGAACCTAAGACCTTTTGTTTGAAAGACTGGCTTTCTTCGTTTGCATTATTATTATTATTATTTGAGGTATTTACATAGCACCCCAATTCTATGTATTTACATATGTAATTCTTTAACTTTATTATTTTTTTTAAAGTTTAGACTCGTTAAACACAAATCTGACCTTAAATCACACCTAAGGAGAATAGAGCATAAACAAAGAGATAGAAAAACCTTAAAGAATGAAAATAGTGAATCAGATGAGAGAGCGATCAGACAAATTGTTACTTATATTGAGGATTCTTCCCCGGAAAAGATCCTCCAAAAGAAGAAAAAAAAAAGATTTGCATTACATTTAAATTTATTTATAATGGTTACGTCTTTCGTGAAAGGATGTATTTGGGCATATCTCGCCCAAAGGTTTGGGTTTCGCTGATTCTAGTTCCCCTCATCATTTGACCTGGGATCTGGAAGAAAATCGACCCCTAGTTGGGCCGTTGAGATGTGAAGGTGAGTCATTCGGCCACCAATCACCCGGTTTCAGTTATTTGGCCTTGGGCACTCAATTTTAGTAGACTGACTTTAGGTCTTGATCACTACCCTCAAGCACTCGAACCATTGGAATTTGCCGGTCAGCCTATGCTTTGCTTTCTAGGGCCATATTTGCATTCGGGGACTCAATCATTTGTTTCCACTCATCTGAGATGACTTTTACTGATTGATCTTTTCTAAGCATCTAATTCTCAATTATCTAGATCGTCTAATATGATGATGTGGATAGTTATTTTTTTGTCATACAATATCACTCAAATCCTTCGTAACATATCAAAAATGTCATTATTTAAACTTTTAAAAAGTGAAACTCACCTTTTTTATGTATAGGAAAGATGTCATATATAAAATAAAAGTTTAGAGTAAATACATATAAATTGAGTGGTATTTATGTAAATTTTCATTCACTATTTTCTTCCTGTTAGTCTTATTTAAAAAAAAAGAAAAATTATTGAAGTTTCATTTTTTTCTCTTGCACAGGAATGCTCACCTAAACAAAACAAGGAATCTTACTGTTAGAAAGCTCCGAGAGGCTACCAGCCTTCTGTCATTGATTGTGGAGGATGGTCATTGCTTATGACTGACCTTGGAAATGTGGTTTTCAATTAACATGACAACCATGGGTATGCTGAAATTTAATCTTGCATTGCTAACTGTCTGAAATATGAACCAAAATGTTCTAAATCTTGATTGTACAGTTTTAAGTGGAGGAAATTCCAATTTGCTTGACAAATTAATCTACCATGAATAACTAGTTGATTGGCACTAAGCAGTATCCTTTTCAGTAGGTCTGTGGAAAAGCTCATAATTTTTTTTAATGATTTATTAAAAAGCTCATGCGAGACTAATCCGTTAGATAAACTATAATTGAATAGGTGTTATGAGCTTTGATTTTGCCAATTACATTTGCTATCACTGGCTTGAAAATTGCATTCGATTTTCCTTTATTTCAGCCAAAGGATTGTTTTTTTTTTTTTTTTTTTTTAACTTAGCCTTTTGATTTTATGTTTTTGTAACACATTTGGATAGAATTTTAATGAGGCAGGCGAAAGAAACTACTGACAAATAATTTGGAACACGAAGGTGAAATTTTAAATAAGCTTGTTTTGCGCTTTCTTGCAAATTGTAATATTGTTTGACGTGACAATAAATGAAACAAAGCACTTTGATTTGTAATCGCTCATATTGAACATATGACCCGGATTCAAGATCTTACACTGAAAATATTCAAGATTTTTAAATAAAATGAGGTTTAAACCAATAAATATTAAAATTATTTAAACAAATAAATATATTTACATCAAAATTATTTAAAATATTAAAAATTGTAGCACTGAGGAGTCCTGGTCAAACTTGTGCCAATCAGTCCAGCCCAATTTTCCAAAATAATGCATTAAATATTTTATAGCTTATAATCATGCATCAAACTTACCCTCCTTTTTTTTACAACAGAAGTGAGAAGGCAAATTAAGTGTTCTTTTTCTTCAAAAAGGAAAATTAACTCTTGCAAAACAAGCTGGGAAAGACTTATCAAAATGTCAAGTAAAAAATATTTCATGCAAAGATTTAAATCATATATATGATAAGTTGAAATAAATAATTTTATAATTTGATTTAATCAAATCATATCATGTTATTATTGTCAGGCTCACCCATCATCCATCAAACTATCCCAGGGTGATTTTACAAGCCACCTTACAAAGCCAACGAAATAAGGCCAACCTTTCGCCCAGCAAATATGAGTATGATTTCAAACTCAAGTGCATTAGCTCTATTTTACTAAAGTAAACCGACAACAGAAAAAATGAACATTTCCTAGACAAAAAAAAAAAAATGAAAAGGTAAACTAAAATCCGCATGTTATAAAATTTCTGTAAAAGCTATAGACATTACCTGTCCATCAACTAAACCAAAGAGGCAAAACCATATAGCTCAGAAATAACAGCTCATGTATTTATGAACATTTCTAGATAACCCTGCAAGAAAAAAAAGAAATTTTAAATTAAAGAAAGGAATGTTTACATACATGCCACTCAATTCCCATATAATTTCATATCTAACACCTAAACTTCAAGTTTTACATATACACTACCTCATCTATGCATGAAAAATGTGTATTTCACTTGTTAAAACTTAAAATGGCTGTATTTTTTTATGTGATATGATTGATTTGGGTGGTATAAATGTTTTTTAAAAAAAATTTTAATTGTTAGACGCGTAAATACATAGAAATTGGGTGGTGAATATAAAAAAATATTTATGTACAGAGTACGCACGCAAAACTATGTGTATAGAGGTTATTCGGGAGGTATTAGAGGGCTATGCCGGTGTTATTGGGGTTAATACCCCCAATAACCTACCAGACTTCCAAATAACAGTAAAAAATATGAGTGTGGAACTGCGAAATATATTGGTAGGTTATTGGAGGGTTATACTCCAATAACCTCTCAATAACCCCCAATAACTGAGTTATTGAAAGATTATTTGGGAAGTACGCATGCAGAACTGTGTGCGTACTCTGTACATAAATAGCGCTCCGTGTAAAAAAATGCCCCGCAAAGAAATTGGTTAAAATATTCACCTGCACAAGTTTGTGGAGCTTGTCCTTCTCGTAAGAGAAATAATGATCAATTCTTTCTGGAGTTCGAGGAATATTAGCGCCCAGAACAGCAACAACTTTGTCCACCACGCTCTTCACCACAGCCTTATGAGCTTCCTTACTCAAACGACCTTCTTTCCAAACTGGCTTTATTATCTCCTTCACAAACTCTGCTAAAGCAAATTTGAACCTTCGAATTCCTTTATCATCTATGCTGCTGCCCTTCAATTCCTCCTCATTAGCTCCTACTTCCTCTTTCTCATACTTGCCACCATTACTCCCCCGATTAGCTCCAACGCTCACAGGTTCAGATAGATTAGTATTCAAGCTTCTACTGTTTGGGCAATTCATTGTTTCAGTAGAGTTCCTGGAGAAATCAGAAATTTGGCCAGTCCTGTTAGCCTCCAGTTTTACAAAATGAGAGGCTACTGCTAACGCGAGTTTGTCTGAACTCGTTTTCAAAGCGTGAGGAGAGTTCATTACATTATGATCGGCATTCTGCTCAAGAGTTGTAGCAGCGGCTGTGGATGTGATAGCGCCGTCTCTAAAGCCTTCATCATCTCTCCTTAAATGAGGCTGAATAGGTGAATTGTCCACATTAGTCTTTGAAACCTTCTGAATGTTCCATCGTGATAATGACTTGCCAATATCCTTCTGATCCCATTTATCATCAGAAAGTTGGACATCTAGATGGCTGCATTTTTCTCTAGGAAATCCATCAGAAGATGGTTCCTTTTGAAACAACTTAGTTTGTTTTGCTCCATCGTTGTGACTCCTATCTCTAAGAGAAACTATATCTTCTAGATGATCTCCATGTTTCCATGGATCTTTGAAATTTATCCACCTGTCATGTCTGAGGTATCGAGCTTTTTGGCTGTCCCAAAATTCATCTGTATCCCTGTCAGGATGATTTGGAAAAGCATCACCACCAATGGCTAGATTAGTTATTTTCCTTCTTGCTGATGGAGATTCTCCATAATATGCAGAAACATCTGCTTCTTTTTTATATGTATCATCTGACTGATAATGTTCCTGCTCACAGGGATGGCAAGGAAGGATTTTTGTTTCTGCTCCCGTTAAAAAAAAAAAAAAACATGAGTTTATTTTCTCAAACAATGAAAGAGAAACATAATCTCAACAGGAACAATAAAAATGCAGAATTAGGAAAATTTGTTATGCTCATAATATTTTTGAAATGTGCCAGAAGAAATAAACCTGAGTGGCCTTTTGCCGCCAATGCTTGGCAAAAATGTGTGCATGTTCTGGTTCAGTGCATCGGCATCATCAAAATCAGGCGCCCCACTCAATTTGTTTTTTTCTCTAATGGAATAATCAAATTTGGGTACTTCGGTGGGCCTAAGCTGCTGCTCCCATGGATCTCGAGCAGCTTGATCTAAATCTGGACCCCATGACCTGTGATCTGCATCGAAATCATTACCCCCTGGTTTGTTCCAACCTGAAAATTTTTTCCAATCACATTTTGGCAACATCATAGGTCTATGCTTCATCCACGAATCATCACTTCGATCAAGATCTGTATTCCTGCCATTATTCTGCTTCAGTGAAATGCCATCTTCTGATGCAATCCCTCCCCAAGACTGCTTCCATCCAGGTCCATTTTGATTGCTGGGACATTGCTCGCCTGTGGCAGGCATCATAGATGCAGCCCATCTCAATCTGTGTTGCTTCGATCCATTAGGATCACTAAAACCAGAACCATCACTCCATTTTGATTTCATTCTAATGGAATCTTCACCTTGAGCAAAAGCCCCACTTCCAAATTTCCTCCTATTTGCTTTAGGTGGTTCAGCGGGACGGATCTGCTTACATGGATCACCACCAGATCGATCTAAACCAGGATCCCATTTTCTCTGTTCTCTGTCAAGATTATCACCATTCAATGCATTCCAGCTTTTAGATGCGTTCCAATCACATTTTGTAGACATTGATGAGCCACGCTGCATCCATGAATCATCAGTTTGAACAAAAGCTGAGTTCCTTTCACCAGATTCCTTCTGTGAGTCACCATGATCTGCTTGGGTCCATCCTTGAGATTGCCAGCCAAGTTTTTGATTTTGATGGCTTGGAATTTGTCCGGTTGTCTTAGATAAAGCACCTGGCCATCTAGGGAATTCATCATTCTTGATCTTATTAGTTGCAAGGTCCCAGGAAGATTTGCTCAAACTGCGCTTATCCACTGTGTGAATGTTAGAGCTGCATGGCCTCGATCCATCACGACCATCATGATCAAAGGTATCACCCCCATCAGCAGTTTCTCTCCTTCCTTTTTCATCTCCAGATACATTCCAACCTCTTGCGCCTGCCATGGTACATCCATCTTCAGTGATCCATCCACATTGCTGAATTGTCTTAGACATAACCCCAGGCCATCCAGGCCATCCATCATTCTCTCCATTTGCATTCTCATCTTGTGCTAGATCCCACGATGCAGATTTGCTCAATCTGCCTTTCTCCACTACGTGTATGTTGGCGCCTGATTGCCTCCATCCATCACTATTATCATCATAAAAGGCATCACCACCATTTTCCCTCTTTTGCTTTCCATTCCCAGACTCATTCCAACCTCTTTTGCATGCCACGGTAGAGATGTTTTCTGATGTGGTCCATGTCTCAGATTCATTCCAGCAATCTTTTCTGTTTTGATGGCCAGCGTAATGTTTAGTGGCCTTAGACATAGCTCCAGGCCATCTATGCCATCCATCATTCTCTCTCTTAACGTTCTCATGTTTTCCACGGTCCCAAGATGCAGACTTGCTCATACAACCTTTATCGACAGAGTGATTGTTAGAGAGGGATCGCCTCCTTCCATCACAACCATTATGATCAAAGCCATTACCACCAATTTCCCATTTTTCCCTTCCATCCCGACCCTTATTCCAACCTCTTTTGCATGCCATGGTAGATTCATCGTCCAATGCAGTCCTGCCTTCAGATTGATTTGATTGTCGGGTGGTTGTCTTAGAAGTAGATGCAGGCCATCTAGACCATCCACCACTTTCTCGCTTTATATTGCCATCACCCGGGCCACACCAGCATGCTGACTTGCTCGAACTGCCTTTCTCCATCATGCAAATCTTTGGGATGGATTGCCTCCATCCATCAAGTCCATCATTACGAATGGCATTACTACCTTCCACAGTTACCCTTTGTGCTTTGCTATTTGTTTCCCAGCTAGACTATCCAGCAGCCTCCCCTTAAGCATCATCATCCACCTTTTGAGCCCAAATCACAGACTTGTTGCTACCATTTATGTGTGACGAGGAAGAGTTAAAGCTATCGTCATTGCGACAAACTTTTGGCATGCATCCCTTCACATCACTTCCATTCATTCATCGGTTCTTTTTGGACTAGAACCTACAGAAGAAGGCTCCGGACTTGAACTCTTGAGCATATATTTAAGGTACTATATCAACAAAGAGCTTTGTCGCTTGAGCCCTGTAAGAATTACAAGCCAATCCACATTAGTAAATGACTTGATTGGTTAAAAAACCATAACCACAATTCCTGCATTATTTTCATAATTTGCTTCCTTTATACAAATTGAGATGCCAATAAAACTAGTTATTAACACGTCTTAAAAATTGGATACGTGAGTTTTTAAGTTTTAAGTTTTAAAGTGATAAGCCTTTCCTGCTTTTCTGATTTCACGATATCTTTATCAAACTGTCATGTATGACAACATGCTCAACATGGACTTCTCTTTAGATCTAAAAGTTCAAAGAACACACTAAGTTATCATGTGAAATACAGCACACAGAAAATAAATAAATAAATAATGACGTTAAAAATGAAGAATCAAACTACAAATTAAAAATTGCAGATGAATGTTCAGGACTATGGCTTTGTTTTTTATGCTTGGAACTTGTTATGTTTCATCTACGGTGATTCACTTCCTTTGATGTTACATTATATGCATTAAATGCAAGGTATACTGAAATGTAAAGAACATTTTAGAACAGAGACAAACATTTAGAAAAATTGAAACTAAATGGAAAATTATATTTATCTTTGTAGAAGACCTGATATATTCAAAACTAGTTGAAGACTCAAGGAAAATCAAGTGTTCTTCAGCTTACTAATAATGAGAAATTATATTACCAGCATGATTACCAAAAAATGATATTAAAAAAAAGTCATATTTTGTTTTAAAACAAGTAATTTTTCAGTCGAAGGATATATGGGATTTATTTGGATACCAATAAAATATTCATTCATTTTAAATTAGTACTCAAATTTTAAAGTATATATATCAGATTTACACATTTTAATGCATGATACATCCAAAATAACAAATTAATTAAAATTTTTTTGATAATATTATAATTAGAAGCACTAAAATATTATGTCAGTAGAAATGGAAAATTTCGATGTTGTACAAAAATTGTCAGTCCATCAGATATGAAAAATTTAGAATAATTTTTCCTCCACAGGTGATCTTTTAGGCCTATCCTATCTTAAACCATATGCAAATCTTGGACTTGACGGAACAAAATAACTTGGTGGGGTAAACTATGCATCTGCAACTGCTAGCATCCTAAGATGAATCCCAGCCCCAACGAAAAATTTAGAACAATTTTTCCTCCACAGGTGATCTTTTAGGCCAATCCTATCTTAAACCATATGCTACTCATGAACTTGACGGAACACAATATCCTAAACATATCCTTAGACTCCTACGCTAGCCCAACTCTAAAACATATTGGATAACAATATCTGTCTGAAAGCAATGACGTAACATAATCAAAGATATAAAAAAACTAAAAAGAGAACACTAGAAAAAAATTAAATGAATTTATATTATTTGATGAGATCGATTTACACCCATACCCAGTTAGAGAGGAAAATATTTGCGGGTCCATAGAAAAATATATGACAAAACTATTTTCTCATTTTTATCTCACTAATAATCTCCTCCACGCCATTTATTTCTTTGTCTAAATGTGAGCAAAATTCCTCCACCAATGCATGTTGACAACAAAAACAACAACAAAATTCCTCCACGCCATTTATTCCATTGCGTCCAATTGTCATACTTTCATTTACTTCTAATAAATTAAGATCATTTTTTATATTTATACAATCAATATGCCTAAGTCTTTCTAGGTCTACCTCTGCCTTTCTTAAAATAAGTCAAATCTAAAACATCTACTCTCCTAATTGAATCATCAGATGGTCGACGATTAATATGACCCAACCATCTAAGACAACTCTCTCTAATTTTGTTAATTTTGTCCTCCACTCACTGGAGCTACACCAACCCTAGCACGGATATATTCATTTCCCAATTTGTCTCTAAGTGTAAAGCCACTCCACCTAATCATTCCCATCTCGGCAACACTTGGCTTAGTTTTTTTTATGTATGATGACGATAGAGGAAATTCCGACCCAATGTTGAAATAAATTTTCAATCATTAGCTGCCATGACAATTACTAATTTTTCTTATGGCCCTGGGCTTTAGACAGCCACCTTCAATTCTTTAATGCTATGTTGATGATCTATTTGCACCCATATCCAGACAGAGAGGAAAATATTCACTAGTTCATAAAAAAATACATGATAAAATTATTTTCTCAACCAAAATTTTCTCATTTTTATCTCACAATTAACCACCCCTCCACACCATCTACTTCTTTCTCTAAATGTGAGCAAAATTCCTTCACCAAAAATGCATGTTGACGATAGAGAAAATTCTGATCCTATGTTGAACTACCTTTTCAATCATGAACTACCATGACAATTACTAATTTTTCTTAAGGCCTTGGCTTTAGACAGCCACCCTCAATTTTTTAATTCTCCTTGACAACGGTAGAACAAAGAAATGCAAATACATGCACCAGCCAAGCTAATTGCTAACCTCTGACCTCTTCAACGTCACCTGTACGCCTGAATTAAAAGTGAAGAATAAGAGGTGCATATCAGCAGCACAAAACTATCTCCTTCTATGGTGTTTAGAGGTGGTGGGTGATGAACATGTAGATGCGAGGTGGATGACATTAAGAGGTATGAAAAATACTTGTAAATATAATATCAGAGTCAACCAAAACAACAACAAAAAAAATAAATATTATTGCTAAAAGTAAATAGGTAGTTACAACCAAACATGCTTGAAAGGACAATTACAACAAACACATGCTAGAGCTCGATCCATGGGGTGGTGCAGAACGGCTAGATGGTCGGGGAGTTGTAGTATAATGTTGAAATGGGCTGTGGGTTTTGGAACAGCAAAAGGAGGGATTGGAATCGCATTGGAAATGAAACAAAAGGCCTAGGATAGCAGCGGCAGTGAAGTGGAGGGCTGAGACAGCGAGGGGCAGCGAAGTGGAGGGCTGAGACAGCGAGGGGCAGCGAAGTGGAGGGCTCGAGCAGCGAGGGGCAGTGACGATGGACTGTGAGACAGCAAAGGGGAGGGTGGCAGCGAGGGAATTGGAAAGGTTTCAAAGTAGTTGGTTATGGATAAACATCCTCGTGGGATCGAGCTACAGTTAGAGTTACCATCTCAGACGAGTCACAGCTGGATCACCTTCTCGCTTTTGGATACAATACTAGAAATGGAACACTAATAGTCAACGGTTGTCCTGAACACAAATATATGCCAAAACTACAAACTTTAAATAAAAGAATCACATCAATAAACCCTATATGATTAGGATTGGATCCCGTTATGGAACTGAGTTGCCAAACCCACGTGGGTGAGTTGGTCGGCCCTCCAGGGTCTAGATTGGTTTGGTCCAGACGATAGAATCATGGGAAAGGGCTCCCGCGACTCTTTATGCCCGCACATTGTAACATAAGTAAAGGTTGGGAGGGGATTCCTGGTAGCTCCCGCAGAGGCTTCTTCTTCTTTAGTGGGTCCTAAATCTCATTGAAGAATTTTCTTGCCGACCAAGATCCTACAACAACTTCCAAAGTTGGGGTTCATCCATCATACATGATATCATCTCTCCATCAGTACACTGTTGAACATATTTAAAACCCAACTGAAAAGTCTGAATTTCTCTTATTTGGGATTGCATGGTGTCTGGCTTTCGTTCCTCGAATTTAGGACAGTTTTGGATCACCAATGTGAATTCTATTGAAGTCACTCTTAGGTCCTCAACTTGAACTAGATGTTTTTCTCTCTCATCAGTTCGAATCTGATCATTCTCCTTTGTGTCATTACCTTCTTCAGTGTCTACAATCTTATTACCCCTTTCTTCAACAACTCCCTGGTTAATGTAATATATCATCTCCTGGTTGAGCAATCTGCATCAATTTACCCAAATGCATGACACTTAAACACTTCTTAGTTGGGATGAATTTGGAAATACGGATTGATGCCCTCTATTCTCCACTCTATACTAGTGCCTCCTCAGACGGGATTGACGTGAATGTTCCCCTAGGTATACTCAGGCTATAAAATCCTGGAGTTGAACCTTGCATGTAAGATTTGGTGCTTGCCTGTCGATCTCTCCACTTTTGAAGCTAGGGTTTGAACATCTTATTTATATTAAGATGGTAGTAACTTGTACTACAACTCACATTTGAACTTAATCCAGATAGTAATTTAACCATTCACTTCCCACTGTCGAAGAACCTTCAAATTCGCCCACCATTGAGATGTACTTTTCCTTAACTTGCTGGAGGCTAGTTTCACCGTTTTGTCTGGTGAGACATCTTGACACTCAAAAACACATTCCTAAATCCAGTCACTCGATGACCTTGTCTGAATCCATGTTGCACTTGAAATATGGCAAATTTACATTTATTTCAAATTTTTAGCTTCACCAATATTTCATGTCAAATATTTAGGATAGTAGTTCTTCATCTTGGTGATCTAATAGGATTTGTGTGACCCCTTTGAATGGTCTTATTCTCAAATTTTATCAAGTCGTTGCAGTACTATGCAGAGTTATCATTGTATCTCCTACATGGTAACTCTTGATTGGCATCTGACACTTATCTCATCGAAGGCATGATTAGGGTTTGGGTTTGGGTGTGGATAGGTGGAAGGTGTATGATGATGTAGTGCAGGGAAAAAAATTGGAGGGTGTGGAGATAAATTTAGATATAGCGGATGCTACAAAATCCTAAGATATGAATGATGTTAGGCTAATTTTGATACCACATGATATCGGAGTTAACCCAAGCCACACAGGAAAATTGATTATTATTGTTAAAAGCAAATTGGTGGTTATAATTGAACATGCTTTAAAGAGAAATTACAACAAACACGACACAAATACATACTAGAACTCGATCTGTGGGGTAGTAGAGATCGACTAGGTGATCAGAAAGTGGTGGTAGTGAGTTGTTGGGACAGCAAAAAGAGGGGTTGGAATTAAATTGAAACTAAAGGAGAAGGCCTAGGATAGCAGTGACAGTGAAGTGAAGAGCTAAGAAAGTAAGGGGCAGCAAAGGGAGAGGGTAAGAATCTAAGCTGAAAATCCACAAATAT